ACAATCGTAACAATCAGTGCAGACAAGTATGAGGAAAGCCTAAGTATCACTTACCGATCTCGTAACCGAGAAGAATCACGTGTCATCAAGCTCGTCATCGTGTTTACAATGGTAGTAACGAAAGTGAAGCATGCAAATCGACTGCGATCATCACGTCTCATTGGTCCTTTCAATATGCATGCACGTCAATACTTCTCGGCTATACGTGTTGTGTTTACAGTGCAGCGGTTAACCAGTAAAATAAACCTTAAATTGCAGCACGACGATCACAGTAGAAAAAAAATATATATTATATTGCTAGTCATGAAAAATTGCACAACATTTATTTCGTACGGTCACGGCAATCGTGGATTGTTGCTGAATAGAAAAACATGAGGGAATTTCTGATTGGGAGCTATTGAGGTCGTATTGAGTGGTGCAGTTGACAATGATGCAATTTTTATTGAAATCAAAAATTCTACATTTAAACATGGCAGTGTATGTTTTTTATATAGACACAAGAAATAGAGCGAAAAGTGCAGCCTTGAAGGGTAGAACCCAACATGGCAGTTTGTCTTGTTAATCCATAAGCTTCGATGCAATAAACTTTTCTCTCGTTCCACCTTCGGCAAGTATTCTACATATATTACTGGTCTCGCTGTAAGAGTAATCGCTGCGACCCGATGCCACGCACCATGAATCTCTTGAGTCGTGTGACATAGGTGCAGTAGGGCTGCACAAAATAACATCGCAGATTTGTTGTATCGAGTTTTAATATGCGTTAGTCATCCTTAGATTACTTTTTATGGCAGCTGCATGAGTCCGTGAGAGTCGAAATTATTAAGCTATGATTCATAATGAGAGTATACTAAGCATTGGTTCATTTTAAGAATTTTTTTCTAATTAATAAAGATCTCGATAAATGATTATAGCGGAAGCGAGCATCGCTGAACTCAAAGGAAAAGAGGAAATTGAATGATTGATGCATACCAATTGCATGAATTAAAGGATAAAATGGTAGTGCTTAATAGTTTTAACCGCCACTACTTTTTACTGCTGAACATGCGTCACGATTTTATGACTCGCCTTCCACTCGTTAGAGCTCTGACGTTCCTTTCCAGCGAAACCGATAGGGATTCATTTAGGTATAAAACAATTAGCTGCTTTGATGAAGGTATAATTCTTATGTATTTCACTTGAATTGTCAGCAGCTATCGGAAGAGGATTTTTGGGTCTGGAAGAAGGTACGGATACTACCTATAGCCTTTTTTTAATTTCTGCTATTGAATTGTCTCAAGTGTGATTTCATTGAAGTTTCAATAAACGATTGAGGATGCGTTTGAGCCTCAGATGCAACGCAGTGCAATGATGCTTCGGATTCTCGACAAGGACGTCGCCGACAGTGTCTACCGAAGTCCGGATCTGGTCGAGCTCATGTATTTCACTTGTCAAGGGAAACCGGTCTTAACCAGACTACTATATCATTTTCGGTTTTCCCATTGACAGCATAAATGAGCAAGCCGGTTTGAACTGACAAACGACGGTCTAGCGTGCCACGCTGCTTATCAGTCGTGATCTAATCAGACGCCTTTATCAATTTGGTAATACTATACGGTATGCGGGAAAAGGATAAATTGAATTTTCATGGCAATAAACTTTATGATACAATTTGAATAATTTCTATACGAAATACTTACTCCGAATATTCGTATAGCTCATAACTCACACGACCTTCAAAGTAGATTGATTAACAATGGCTCTTGTGGAGGATTATAAATATTTTAAGCTGATGAGAGACTTTGCCGGTAAAACAGTCAGCTGTTTAATCTGTAGTCGGAGCTAAATTCGGTAATAATCATATGGAACATATAACATAACCGATCGTACTACAGTGTGGCTGATAATATATTGATATCGGTAGGAAGGATAGTTTCCGTCTTTTCTGACGTCGGATTTTTATTAACACGAAAACTAATAACTTACGAATGACAAGAGGCAGTACCGATTCAAGATAAAGACTTTGCCATTGTAAAGAATAAATAAAACATCGCGCAACAGTATATAGTATCTTTAAAGTGACAGGCGTTAATAACTTTTTAATGTTTATGCTTTGTTTTTATTATAAAAATCTATAGTCCCAGTTTAACCAGTTTCATTTTCTTTCCAATAAGTACTGACTTTTAAAATCATGATACAACAGCAGCACTCTACTCGTATCTTTGAACCGCGCAACGCGCTGCCCACACAAATATTTGACTTAATCATCGAGTTCGCAATATTTAGCATGTAAATATAGACGTTATTTACGTCAGAATACGAGAATCACGTGCATTTTTATCATTAGTTTCGTAACCAGCTTGTGAATCGGTACTTGCATTTACGCGTTCGACCTGATTGATTACATGACTCTCGTGACCTTTTTACGATCGTTTTACGAGTTTTCTATTATTGAAATCTCGACGAGTGGTCGAACACCCTCATGTTATTATCACTTGCCGAAAAAGAAGGCGTATAATAAGAAAACAAAAGACTATTTCACCTATTCTTTTTCTCAATAAAAACAATTTCATGCTATGAAAAAGATGTAACACACTTTTTCCGTATCGTATAACTTTTTCTCTACCACATATACAATCACCCCCGTCAATCTGAGTGCCTGAAGAAAATAATATTTATTTTATTGGAAATATTTGATCAAATATCTGCTTTCCTATATCAACCGATTCGCAGAAAAATAAGTTTGTTGAATTGATAAAAAAACTGATTTTCTCGAAAAAATTCATCCATTTTGTCAAATTTAATAATATTAAGACATCACACCGGTAATATCTTTTCTCGAAGAGAAAGGGTATTGTGGTCGAAATATCGTTAAAGGATTGAAAGAGTGCGATTGAAAGAGTGTCTTACGCGTTATCATTCGCAAAAGATATTATGTGACTGCTGGTATCTCTAGTGTAGAAGCCAAACCGAAATCAATACCGCTGCATGGCCTACTGCGTCGTGGCCTTCTTTTAAGCTAAATCCATTTGGCGCAAGGGACCCCTTTGCTTTTGCAATTCGATGACTCGGAGTTTTTAAGCAAATGCGAATTGTGCGTTCAGAATATACCAAGAGGGATCGAGTGCAGTCTCACGTGTTTACGAAGCAATGGCTTTGTGCGCATTCAAAGGAACCAGGTTACGACGCAGTACTTTTTCCCCAACGGGCAGTTTATTAACCTCCGATCGTCTTTAGATGGTCGAAATTTTCACCGTTACAATTATAACTATTACCAAATACGCTAGTAGATAATTAAGCAATAAGTATGCAAGTACAAGAATGACTGTAGTACGAAATTTTTGACTGGAATTTTACTTCTTTGTACTATCGATTTCACCGGAATAGTTGATTGACTTGTGTTGGCTGATACGTCGCAGTTTCATGAACATCGTCGAGACGTCCCGGCGCCCGCTACAAAGTCGTATCCCCGTGCCCTACATCCTAGAAAGTTTGTACCCAGCTTCTTCACGAGTGTTGATCCTTGAGAATCGGTTAGACTATGGTTAACGCTCTCTGCTCCTCCGCCCCAGGAAAGTTTTATTGAGAAAGTTAAATTCAAGCAGATCATCAGTCTCGAATAAGATTGAGCCAAACGAATCGCCACTTGGACACGCGTTAGCCCAACAACCGTTCCGAGGTCGTTAGGGTATTTAGATCTCTTGGATCAACGCTCAAATCTTAAGATAAGCTGGCGCCAGCTTGATTCTCAGAACTTTTGTGTTATCATCTGTATACGCTGTGGGAGTTTTTAGGTTAATTGAAAAATTAGTTCAACGTTATGGAGGAAATTAGAACTTTGACCTCGCCTTTCTGTTCTTGTCGGTCCTTTGTAATTCACAGTGATGGATTGGTTGGGTATTCATTCTTTTTTTGGCAAAGTATCCAAATATTGGACGCTTGATAATTCGCCTGAGCGATTAACCGAAATCGTTTGGCGAAGCAGACCTCTTTTTGCTGTCATAACACGATCTCTCGGTTCGTAGAATTCGACCGAAAATTCTGTAAGAGATACGAACGTAGCACCTCGATAAACATTTATTGTGAAATTATCTGAACATATAATGTTAAAGTTCAACCCTTTCCATGTTTACATACATCAGTTTAGACTGATGTACTTATCATTGGCTAAACCGACGTATAACCGGTTATATTGCAAGAGATATCGCAGGATACGAACTCTCTGGTTCCATTCGAATCTTTTATTAAACATTTATAGTTATAAAAAAGACTTCTCAAAAATACATTCTTAATTGGTTGAGCACCAATAAACTAAGTGGTAAGAGATACAGGTGAAACTATAAAGAAAGAATAACCTAAGTCATTAGTGCTTTTTTCGTCTAATTAATTATAATTTTCCTAATACCAATGTAAATTAAATTCTACTGTTTTAGGTCATCACAGTTATTTTTTTAACTTAAATCCTAACTGCGCGACAAGATATAAAATTTCATAGCAATAACAATCGATCTGGAATAGAACATGCCCCATTGGGAAATTCTGAATGCGGAAGGTTGTGATACGTCAGTGGTGTTATGATGATACTGTAGACGCTCCGAATAGCACGTAGGCCTATAGTTGTGTCAACGTCAAAATAGTCGACCGAAGAAAACATCCACGCGTGTCGTAGACATATTTTTAATTTTCAATCACGTGACCATATATCACTAACGTTAAACGACACGTTTTTTCGTCCCATTCGCAATGCCGTTCAAAGTCCGCGAGGAATTAGTCGCAAACTATTTTCCATAGGTCGCTATGATTTTGCTTGGAGAAATCTCATTTGGACTGTCAAGAAAAACGACAACACAATCGGAAACTGTACGAAGGTTTTCGAACTGTTGATCGGACCTTGGCCTGTCGCGCAATCGCAGTTTCATAATGATAATAAAAGGCCCTTCGAGCAGAACGATTTATTTATACAGCAGGAAAACATGACAGCGCTAATAGAGTTACAGCACAGTGTCCATAAGAAAAAAGCATCGTACGTTCAAGGTCCATTGTTTATTTATAGTTTATTTACAAAATTGAACTGATCATGTTACCCGGGTAATGGTTGTCAGCCGTCCTTCGTAGGTGTCAGTATTAACCATGAATATTCTATCTCGGTTTTATCAATAAAATCGTGCGGTCGTTTTTATTATTATCGGCCGACGGTACAATGACACAAAGCTGTGACTTATTGTACGATTAGTGTGTAAACCTGCTTTTCGTCATGTATGGATAAACAATTTCTCTAACGTATGTATAATCGAATATTGGCTGAAGCAGCATTCGGATAATGCGGCCATATATGATTTCCAATGGCTGGATGATGGACAGAGCTGAATGCTTTCGAGATTATCTGTGCGAGCCGCGCGGAACAGTTACCGACCGAGCAAGTGCGTCGGTCCGGGGAGAAACGTTCTATTTGAATTCGTTTTTCTTCTCCTAGTGATAATTCGAGCTGGACTTTTGGTTCGGGTCTTGAAGTATTAATCGTGCGTGCTGAATAAGCAAAAATTGTAAACATTACCACGTGGCTTTTGCCGACTGAAACGACGACAAAGTGTTAGGAGGTTAAGATCTGTTTATCCGATTGCACGTCAGCTAAAAATTATTGTAACTTGTCAGAAATACTTACTTCTTATCTATCTCTTCAATCGCTTGATTCTTATTGGTTGACCTGGCACCCTATTTTCCATCTCTTGTCTGGTCAAAAAGATGCGTGGCATATAGCTTCAAACTGCTGATGGAGTCTTTAAATTTCTCATTATTCGTATTATCATTGTGTTTCGTTTCATTTGTATTTTCTTCCATTGCTATTTCTGATTATGGAACGATATTAATGGGACGAGATGACAGTAATGAATCGTTACTGTTATTTTGATTAATTGTTATTAATCAAGGCGAAATAATTTTTTTTAGACATCTAATCGACAACGCGTTTTTATACGGAAGTATAGGACAGATATCTCCTGTTTACAAGTCCATACGTAACACTTGATATCTTTAAGCATGTTATTCGCATTATACTGCCTTGAGCGTGTAAACTGCAAAAAAAAGTTATAAAACTTTAAACGATAACTCTGCTTATTTATATATTCGTCGACTCGTCCTATTATCTAACGCTCGCGATGTACTAACTTAGAAAGAATATGTATAACACATTATAAAATACAATCGATCCAAGAATAAAATTCATTTTTTGATAGGTCGAAAAAAAAATCTTCAGCAGATCACAAATACTGCAAGGGTTTTTCCCTGAAATATGTTAAATTTTTTCAAAGTATATATTTTAGTAATCGTAAAGAATGCCACGTGTGATTTTCTAAAATTTTTATTATTTAAAATGAATTTTCTTCATGAAACGACTTCACGTCAAAGGAGACTAAAAAGAGTTGCAATTAGGTAACTTGATACCCCATGTGATCCTTGTGAATCAACACGAAACTAACTACTTGTATTTTCTCGAGTGACATAACCCTGAGTATCCTTTGACGTTACAATTCGACATCGATGCAATAATCGACAAATAAATATAACCCCATGGTCGAGTATCTTCGGCGCGTGCACACGTTGCATCCTCTTCATGGGATCGACACGGACGAAAAGATTGCATAGTCAAGAGTCATCTCTGCTTAATGAGTTGGATGATTCATAATGCTCGTTACTTGCACCGGAAATAACAATTCGTAAAACGATGATTAAATCTTCTTGAAAGGTATGCCATGCGTCGCTACTTGTGTCACGCAATTAAAGGTATCGAGAAAAGAGTGTGCAACACTGAAGTACGAATTGAAGGCACGACCCTGTACGATGCATCCACACTTCAGCTTTGGGCACCCTAAGTGGGGGAATCGTAGCACGGGGTTCCTCGAGTGTCCTTAGAGAGGAGAGTATACGTTTCAAGGCCTCAAAAGGCTACGTAGTAGCGAGCGACAAGGCTTTTTGGGATCTCCGTTTCACGTATGCACAGGCAAGACATACAGAGTGGGCTGGAAGCAGGGATCTGCGCAGACGGTTATTTAAAGATTCTCATTGCATTTCAATTCTGTCACGTGACTAGTGGCTAGCTGCTTTTTCTTTGCCTTGAGTATTTCCAAGATTCCGAGACTCTGCACAGGGGCTGCATAAGAGAGTAATCTGTTATACAGGTTATTTCACACTGACCGGAACTTCCAATTGTAATGATAGTTCACTGAGAATCTTTAGGATGGTTCTTTTTAATTTATTTACGGTATATGCGCGCGTGGTATGAAACAGCGTGCCATTTGTTTTCTATTGACTTTACGTTTGAATGTCTTGAGAAATTTAGAAAAGATTACAAAAGTGGATTCCTGAGCGAGACACCAGGAATTCTTATTCTAATATTTAATTTTAGGTTATCCTTTCCACGATCTATAGAAGGATTTATGTACCTTCCGATTTGTAGCTGACTGCTCATTACGAACCAATACTAAGAACGATCTTACGACTGCTGTTTATGAACCGAGACGTTTGACTTTACGTTATTTTGAATAACTTTCATAGCCGTAGGGAAGGATCGCACGGAGTAACAGGAATGTCGGAAGTTGCCAAGATACTTAAATATGAATATTGTAAAATAAATACCGAAGCACAGATGTCTCATGTCGAATTAGTTGAACCGTCAGCGACGCCACTTTTCTTAAAATGGAACGAGAGCGAACCGATACTCCACGTCGGTTCGTACGCCACTTTGTCGCCGGCTGATGGTCGGTTTATTAACCTTTGTTCAGTGGCCATGTATACAATTGGACCGAGCAATATTCTCTCGTGGTTCGGCGCACGAACGCACGAATGCGCTCCGCACGCACGCACCCGTACAAAACTTCTGGAATCTTCTATGCGCGCGCGTCGCCCCAATTTTACCGATCTCGGGTTCAGTGGTATTCTCATTGCCTTGGCTCTTCGTCTACGTTGCGAGGAGACTCGTGGAGATGGTGCTAGGATCGATTTGAGTCGTTCGCATACCTTCTGCTATAGAAAACCGACCCAACGCACTTCCGAATGAAACGACCTGTAGGCTTATACCCGTAGTGTGCCGCGCGTTACGGCACGGAGAGAGTATTGACCGTCTCAGCGGGCACAGTGGAAATTTCCACTGCCCTACCTCAAGACCATACCCACGCTTCGCACAGACTTTCCGGCCCATCTGCCGTCACACTTTTAATATTGTGCTCCAATAGCTTTCCCTCTTTTCAATTGCTTAGATTAATTTGATTTCTATGATGATTCTCATGGGAATACTGATAACGTATCGCAATTGGGGACACGTGTTTAATTGAAGTTGCGCAATGAATATGCGAGAGACTACGTGAAATCTACTTCTTGTCTGTGTGAGCACCCGCAATACTCGTTCGATGAATTTCAACTATTCGTAGATCTAACAAGTCACGGTGAATTCGGTTCTCCTTGAACTGTGACGAGATACGATAGGTAAATGTACGGATAATACGATCTTTTGTGAAAAGTGTTGTATGCATTAATTATTGGAGCTCATATATGGATTTGCGCAGATGTGAAAGAACGATTAGAAATTGAATGAACGAGATATTAAAGGGAAACGTATTTGCTTTAACTTTTATGATTTCTAATTTGTATTCAAACTATTTGTGCAAGTTAATTATATGTTCAAAGCTTTGATTTGTTGATTGTCGCTTTACGAAGCAACTGAATTTATCAATTTGCATAACATACTTTCTAGGAACTGAAAAACTAGCCTAAATGTAAAATGATAGGACATTCTATTTCTTCTGGGAGCCTAGTAGATATTGTGGAAGCTGAACATCATGAATTTATAGCTTAGCTAAATATGTTGAATTTCTAAAAGGAATATAAAAGCATCTAAGCAAAGGAAGCATGAGACAGTGACTTATACAGCTTCTATTTTTAGTTAGACGACGTCCTTGGGGCTTACATAATGACATAAAAAGAATGTGCTCTTTGCTATGGGCTCAGTGGATTAACATAAATAAATTACCGATCGGCCATTTGCAATTTGCTCGCGTGACGTACGCGATCGTTTTCAATGTTTTCGTACTATCAGATTACACAAGAGGCTTATTATTGTTTATGCGATAGAATGGGAATGAGATAGTATAATTGGTGTTTTAAAAAAACTGAGAAAGCACATTTACCATTTTAGAAATAATTTTTTAATTGCAGTCTATAGGTATATGTCCAACGGTTGTTAAGGTCACTTCTGAGGCCTGTTTCCGCTTTCAATTACAGATTATTCGTTGATAAGGTGGTGGCAGAATGTTTTTTAATCTCAAAAATACGTTATCAAATCCGTTTAACGTAAGCTGTTAATCCTAAATCTTATTTACAGTTTTTGTAATTGGAAATTCTATATTATCATTCAAGGTTACTAGTCTGCTTATACAATGAATGTTCAGTGATTCCATAAGCCAACTGCTGGTAAAAGTTGACATGATCAATACCGTTATACTGTTATCTTGTTACGATACAGTTATTGTCAGTTGATCTGCATACATATATGAATCTCTTGCCGCCACGTGTCTTTATCAAAAGAGTACTTACGGTATTTTCAATTGACTGAATATCCTTGCATCAGGTAAAAGGCCCATGTAAGCACAACTCCCCACCACATCAGATTTGATGACTTTAAAAAAATATATTAACTGAAAACGTACCAAGGAGTTTATTCTCGAAATTATTCAACATTGTCACATGCGACAATAGTGTAGTGCACATGCCGAGTGGGTTTCCGTGGTGGCGCTACACGTATCCCGTATGCGAGTATCTTCGTTTCCCACTTTATCGGCAGACAATAAAGAGACTCATCAATGCTTGCCGTAAAGAATACGATCATAGCGCCGCCACGATACTTCACACAACATGAGAACTATACGAATATCGTATGCTAAACTTGTCGAAGTTGTTCCACCCTACACATGATACTCGATGCAAGAAAATTCTTTCAAATCAAAAGGCTAGTAATTTATTATTTATATGGTTATTTGTTATCGCTGTTATATAAATATAGATTGGTACGTTTTCGATGATAACACATCGGCTTGTCGATAATGAAGAGTTCATGTTTTACAGTATCGACATTGGTAAGAATTCATGGAATGTCGACGGGTAATTTGTAAAATAAAATTATAACTAAATTGATTGACGACAAAATGACAGATGAATCTTACCACGTGACAAGTTGTTGTTAGAACATAAGCATTCAATTCGTCAGGCAACGGTTTATTTAAATATCTACTGACAATGAGTTCTATACATAATTAGAATATACTATTCCTAATTAATGAATGTCATGAAGATTGATATGCTGCAAAAAATTTCAGAACGGTAAATTCTTTGACGCCCAGGACTTTCAGAATAAATTTATATCAGATACAAGTCTACTGTCAGTGGTCCTTAAATATGAAACATCAAGAGACTCGGTCGAGTCTCGCGCCAAGTACAGGCAACCGGCATTATAAAGCGCCACTTTCGCCACACGTCGGAGGCACGAAAAGTAGTATTTTTCATGCATGAGTTACATAAAATAAAATATGCAATACCGGATAAGCCGACATTTTCCGAATATACGTATATAATGAGAAATTGCTTTCTCCCGTCCTTACTTCAATGGACCATATATTGGAGCTAGTCGCTGGCACACCAAGTTTTTTGTAGAGAAACATGCACGTCTATTAAGCATCTACCTAGGAGATAGTAATGTAGGGGAAAGGTTTTAAGAAACCTGCGAACAAATTGGCTCCCTTGACCACAACCAAAAGCCTTTATTTCCTCCGATTTATCATTGACGGAGACCATGTGTGCTTGAGCCTCGAATTCAACGACTGACTCGTTCGCACGCTCTTACATTTGTCGTGCCCTCACGCCGGGCCGTGCCTCACACATACCAGTATACCACAGGATTTTTGCTTGGCTAATTTATTGGATTTAATTGAATATTTTTGCTTGGTATTTTTGTAGCAAGGATTTATTTTTTATGAAATGGCTACACTTTTAATACTTGGCGTAACCGTTTTGTTTTGAAAAAACATTTTTGGTGTTATCTTATGAACGGCTGTATGTGAGAAAAATGTATTGATACATTCACTGTAGGAATCAAGGGTTCTGAATTGATTGCCACCAAATTCAATACGATTAGTCTACAGGATCCGGACGTATTCAAATGGCGAGCGAGATGATTTCAGGTCCGTCGTCGTCGTCGTCATCGTCGTCGTCGTCTTCGTCGTCTTCGCACGTCCATCGCATTTTTTACACGACAGATGGCGCTGACTGCTTTGCCTTCTTTACCTATTTGCACTCTAAATGGTGTTAGTAATTTACGAATACACAACACAATCAAATACACTTTATAATGGAAGCTACCGTTCATATCGAATTTCCAGTTAGTATAAGGGTGCTTTCATAACAGTATAGAATTATTCAGTTTTTAATAGTATTCATGTAGAGCGCGCGTATATGGGTGTATGTATATTTTTACTCGAGTCAACTCCTTATACCTGTCTTTGGAACAAAATATCTTATGAACCGCTATATATGAGGAAAAGTTATTGTGGAAGCTACCGTTCATATCGAATTTCCAGTTAGTATAAGGGTGCTTTCATAACAGTATAGAATTATTCAGTTTTTAATAGTATTCATGTAGAGCGCGCGTATATGGGTGTATGTATATGTGTGCTTGTAATGCGCATGTAAAAGTCCAGGGTGTCCGGGGGTTCCGCTCCGTAGTTTCTTGTATTTAGGTACTGGATGTGGAAGTCCAGGGTGTCCAGGTATTCCGCTCCGTAGTTTCCTGTGTCCAGGTGTTGGATGTGGAAGTCTAGGGTGTCCAGGAATTCCGCTCCGTAGTTTTCTGTATCTAGGTGTCGGATGTGGAAGTTCAGGGTGTTCCGCTCCGTAGTTTCTTGTATCTAGGTGTAGGACGCAGAAGTCCAGAAAAGTGTGCTACAAGCTTTGGCGCTTCGCTCAAACTATAGTATCCTCTCTGATGTTCGCACGGCCTGAGGTACGTAAATAATCCAGTACACTCTCCTCTCTTACGTTTACCACACGGCTTCAACAAGCTGGACACCATTAACGACGCTTATATGCATTGAAGATTACATTTTCTTTAACAATTTGTATAGTTTTCTGTATCTAGGTATCGGACGTAGAAGTCTACAGTGTCCAGAAAACTGTGCAACGAGCGACGCTTTGGCGCTTCGCTCAAGCAATAGTATCCTCTCTGTTGTTCGCACGGCCTGAGGTACGTAAATAATCCAGTACACTCTCCTCTCTTACGTTTACCACACGGCTTCAACAAGCTGGACACCATTAACGACGCTTATATGCATTGAAGATTACATTTTCTTTAACAATTTGTATATGTCTTTATGCATTTCTAGAAAAAGGGACTTACACATTAAATTTATATGACATTAAACATTTTCGACAACGCAATATATTTTTTCTGATTAGCAACATCATAATGCATTTACATTTTATATCTGTGACAATATAGATTTCAGTGCTTAGAAATTCTATGTCCCGTTGAGTAACAAAAACTTGTGATATGCCCCAAAAAACACTTACGTGTAAAAAACTACGCCAAGTACAGGAGTGCTGTGTATTCCTCTAATAAAAAGTATTGATATCAGATTATTGAGGCCAAGGACATAAGTCACTACATGTTTTCCTATTATATGATCTAGCACTGGCCCATCATTTTAATTGTATTTTCAAAATTTCCTATAACGTTTTCACTACTCGTTTACATTACTACTGCTTCTCGTAGTTGAATATGATTTAATGGTTATTTAATAATTAATAAAACTTTAGCTGATTCCTTATCGAGTACTGCTTGGCGGGTCCGTGCCAGGAATTCCAAAGTACTTACTTTGAACATACGAATAGTATCCTAAAACTATATGTTTGTTATTAAGCTTTTACCGTGATTATTATTGACGAGTTATCGTTAA